CCAAGGAAATTATGTCACAGCCCCCCTCAGTTAGCCTGGGTGCCAGATTCTTTCCAGGGCCTACACAAGCCAGCTCATCGGCTCCTGGGCCAACATGTCCCCAAGGAAATTATACCACAGCCCCCCTCAGTTAGCCTGGGTGCCAGATTCTTTCCAGGGCTTGCACAAGCCAGCTCATCGGCTCCTGGGCCAACATGTCCCCAAGGAAATTATACCACAGCCCCCCTCAGTTAGCCTGGGTGCCAGATTCTTTCCAGGGCCTACACAAGCCAGCTCATCGGCTCCTGGGCCAACATATCCCCAAGGAAATCATGCCACAGCCCCCCTCAGTCAGCCCTCGCTAAATATAAATAAAGAATACACAGTACTAGCAAGTACATTATAATGCCCTTGGTACTAGTAACTTGTTCGTTTTTAAACTGTTGTAAGTTACAACGTTACGCTCCAGTGGAATGGCGTAACTTTTAGCAAATGTTACACATCGCAAGATATCGGCCCTCGCACAACGGGAGCTAAATCCACTGCAAACATCTTCAGAGAGGTATCTCGGCTATATATTGCATACATGTACATATAATACATGTATATATATATATATATATGTAGGATATATATGTCATCACGCAATACAATTTGTTAACGCCGAGATGAAGGCTCTTTGTTGTCACTACACTTGTCCGGAATAGTGTAAAGGACACGAACTCAATAGCCATGATCCAAAAGGTCGCTTAATAACCGTGGGATGTTGGCGTTTGACGGCAAAAATGCTTATTAAATTTGCTAAAGAATTCCCATCTGTGCCAAGTCAAAGTTGAAATGATTTGATCAATCAGTAGCTGAATCTTATGATGTGCATGCACAAACTCGGAAAAAGATATAATCGGAAAGAGAGTAAAGCCATTGGTCTTTGAGACCTTTGTGAAGACTCGCTCTAGTCAACAGGTGTCTGGGAATTAGAATTGAGCCCAGAGAGGAATTGCCAGTCTGTTATACCGGCTGACTGTCCCTTTTAAAAACTGCTCTGCCGTTGGTCACTTCGTTAACTGCTGTCTTGTCGAAACTGAATAAAGGCATCACAGCCGACTCGCCTTCCATTCGAGACGTCAGAGTAGAGCGGACGGTCCGGTGACTCTGTCAGCCGGACCCGAAACTCACACAAGGATAATAAGGAAGATGATTCATTTCTTGATGACTTGCCCCACATACAATAAAGAAAGACTTAAATCAATACAGATGATCAAATGCAACTTAAAACATCACCCAATACAACTAGAGATACGTTCCATGTACTTATGCCATGTCCCCATACAATGTCTGTTTATCTCTAGGCCAATACATCTATACTTGCATGAAAAAAAGACATCTTGAAATAACTATATATCAACATGTAGAGCTTCATAGTGAATTTAAAGTTTACGTCAACACTTAACAATTGTCTTCATTAGACAAAGAACTTTCCAGCGTCACTTCAAGGCAGGTTTTTGTCACCGTTGGCTCTAAAGAAGTCAGGATATTTCACTCAGCAGTGAACAACTGCCTAAATTACATTTCTGTAATAATCCTCAAGATTGTAAAACGCCGTAAGGGTGCAAGGATTTGTATATTTGCCCACCCCACCCCATTTGTTCTGCCATACTTTTTCATCTCTAGCAGTAGTATGTGTCTCTTGTAAACAGTAAATATGATAAAGTTTGTCTCTTAACCAAGTAAAAAGTCCCCTTCTCTTATAAGAATCTCCCAACCCATTGCAATTATAACTTGATAGTTGGCACTCTACCTTGGTCATGACTTCTGGGAAAATAAACGTCTCGGAGAGGAAAGCCAGGAGAGGTCATCGGGGCGTCGGATTGAGTTTGGCGTTGATGATCTAGAAATCTAACAGTAATACTCTGCTTGCTGTCACAAAATTTTCAGGGCAGCGATCTTAATTTTCATAATTTTGATACAAAACTTTGGGGGTTTTGAGGGTCCCCATGGGGGGACCCAGAACTCCATAACAAATCGCACCCAGGGGGTTTTTCCCGTATGGCTGTTAACCCTTCCACTGCTGGAAAAAAATTGTAGTGGTTGCAGGAAATTCGTGTAAACGGAGGAAAATTGCCCGCTACGACTACAGTACCATTTTCAGACTTTTACATGCTTTACAGTGAAGATAAATAGGTAAAACTATACTTTTTGCACTTGTTTGAAAAGCTTATAGTATGCAAAGTATGCAAAAATCAATCCAAAAACTTTAGAAGGTCTGCATGTGAAAATGAGTGGAGCAAAATACTTTTCAAACTCCCCCGATCCCTCCCTAACTGCAATCTGCCAACTCCTGCCCATTTCGTGGTTCATTTCCGATTATAAAAGTCTTCAAGCCTTTGACCTTCTGTATGTATCCAGTAATACAAGCACATGCACACAGCTGCAAGAAATTAACAAATCTATTTCACTCAACAGTGTCGCTTTTGTCCTTAAATCTGCCAGAACTGTCATCACCACTTTCGATCCAATCCCTCGTGTCCTCGCCATCAAGGTTGCTTATCGCGGCGGCATTTGAAAAATATGAGAAAAATGAGACCATGGCGCGCTGAAGCATTCCTTGTACATCACAAAGTACACCGATTAAATAATATACCATTTTAATGAAATAAAGAAATAAATGTGTTGATTTAATTGTGTCAGATTGATACGCGCTTTGTTTTTAATTTTGTTTTTAATTAAAACAATTAATGACATTCCAACATTTTGCTAATGAAGCGCAATTTTGATAGTGTCTAAAGTACTCGTGTATACAGTGTTAAAATAGGCACTGCAGGAAAAGCAAGTTTTCAACAAGTTTCCAAGCTTGTGTAAGGGGTCAGATCTGGGTTAGAGGTCCCCGGACAGTCCTCTATAGCTGTGATGAATCCGAGTGAAAGACAGGAGCCTCCAAAGTTCGTTCGGATGGTTTATTGAGTTCTCGCTGCAGTCCACAGTAGTCAAGGGATGAGTGGCAGGTGGATAGGGATGGGAAACTCCCTTCTCAGCTCCGCGCAGAGCCCGGGGGAAGCCCAAGTTCGGCGTCCGAGTCAAGAGTTGTTGGCCAAGTCGCTAAGGGCTCCCCGTGTTTCCGACTCCGCGGAAGCCGCTCTCTCTCTCTTTCTAACAGTTTTTCTTCTTTTATTTTCGAAAACTTTGGGTTCCTCCCATTACCAAATTTGTCTTTTCGGATTATAAATTCAAGAACGGATTGGATAAAATATTTCAATTTGGATATCAGCAATCAACTTTTTGAAGGTTTTCCGCTGAGATATAGCGTGCCGAGTTGTGGAATAAAAGCACGTCCAATAACCTCCACCTCAAGATTATTTGTCAACCTTTTAGGTCAACGTAACCAGTTTCAGTTTCAGTTTATTTTATTTAACCAGTAATTACAACTCAGGCCATCCCGGCCTGCTTTTCAGGTAATCCTGGATACACATAAAAGTACACACAGCAAATACACAGTACATAAACTATTACTAAATTACAACATCCTAAACATCAACAGTGTCAAAATCCTGCACCTAATGTTCTGAATAAAAGTCTTAAGAAGTCCTGCTCCTAATGAACTGTTTAAAAATCCTGAGAAGTCCTGCTTCTAATGTTCTGTTTAAAAGTCCTGAGACTGAGAAGCTGTCGTTGCTGTATCGGAAGAGTGTTCCACAGGTAAGAACCATAGTACTGTAGACTGCTCCTGTACGCCGTGACTCTTGCTGGTGGACAGCAGAGTAGGTGAGGGTCGTAGTCCCTAAGACGCTTTAACTCTGATCGAGTGGTCCGTACACTTAATGTTGGAGCAGTCTCCCACTTGAACAGAGATGACATGTACACCGGCGCACCTCCACGAATCGCCTCCACGAATCGCCACGAACCGGGTTCACGTCCTTTTTGTGAACCGGGTCCCGACGCTGTACAACCCTCCAAATATAACATTCCAATTGTCAATATTTTTGATACAGCTAGTTTGTTTATGGGAAGAAATCGACATATGGGCCTAACCACATACGGAATGGGGAGGTAGGTTTCCCTTCTGGCCTCGCCTGCCACTCGTCTTACAATCACAACATAGTTGGATTTCCGGTGCAATACTAGTGACTACCAAACCTTGTTGTGAGTAATTACCGGTTACAGACTGTCTAATTCCGGCCCAGAGGGCTGTCAGATTAGCTTGACAATAATACCAGGCTTCTATCAACTCGGAGATTACCGTCTAAAGGGGTTTGTGGTGACATGTGGTGCGCAGCGGAGCGCGGGAGGGCATGTGCCTGAGACGGGCTAACCAAGGCCCGCGCACGTATACAAAGGCTCTCCGCTACGTCCAACGAGGCTTGCTCCCAGGGTACCCCGAATGTAGCCTCTACCAGGCTTGGGGAGGCGGTTGGAAAGAGTAGAAATCGGACAAATAGAGAGAGATAATGTTCTCTCAACGGACAAACTCCCTTGAGTTGGCATCTTTCTATTTGGCCGATTTCTACTCTTTCCAACCTCCTCCCCAAGCCTGGTAGAGGCTACACATGTACATTGTACTTGACTTAATATATTTGAGGTGAAAAATCTAAAACTTAGTAACGGACGTAAATATGTTTGATAACTCAAATGAGTTTTAATGTTTCGCCAGACACATTAGGGGCCCTGGTCAAGGAACCTATTACTAGTAACCTGTCTGCCATATCTGCCGCAGTTTGCCCGGGTTTGTCTGTTTGTTTTTATTTGTTTACCCAGGGTGTACATATCGCCACTAAGGCGTTTTTCAATGTGCCCTGCAGGCATACATAAATAAAATATACAAGAAAATAACAGATATAACAAAATGCGCTTTAGATTTATAAACAACGCTTTTCGTCTTATCTAGATCAGCATATTTTGAGAATACCTCTGAATTTGTCGCAAGCGGGCATTGTCACAATTTAATTCACTGAACGTTTCGTTGAGTATATAAATTGGAGTTAAGATGGAAAGAAACCATCAAGTTTATCTTTCAAAAGATATCTTACCTTTATCTTCTGTCTTCATGTCTTTGATCCTCCGTCTTGTCAGATAGACGACTGTCTCGTCATCTTGGGGTTGTCTTGACCGAGACCTTCTTGCTCGGGACGAACCTTGGGTCTTCACCGTGCCCGTGTCGTCTTCTGGGCGGGCCTTGGACGCACCAGGCCCCGAAGGATCGTTCTCGTTCAGTACGTTAGTCAGATGCTCGATGTACTGCGAAGCGAGTCGCAGTATTTCTATTTTGGAGAGTTTGGTTGCTGGCGTTGGCACTGGAGTCGGGATACAACAGGAAAGTTGCTGCAGCGCGTCTTGGATAGATTTTGTTCGGTACCTCTCCCGGGCGTTCGCCGCCTGCCTCTGCTGGCTCAGCCCGGTGAGTCTCGCCTTCCGACGACGCCGTTTCCGACCACGAGTTTTGCCTGGATTCTCGTCGGGGGAGGAGGGCACGTCCTCCCGAGGAGTGAGGTCTTGCTCCCCGGACCCTTCCGTGTCGGGGGCCGTCACCTCGCACGTCGTCGCCATTGTTAGAATATTTACCCACCGTTGTTTCTAACTTGTTCCTTCCGAGACAATTTCATGGTCGGCACAGCTCAAGTCAAGCAACGACATCCGACCGATCCAATCCCACCTCTGATTGGTCGAATGATACAAGAGCTTACAGAGCTATAGGTTACACTCTAAACAACACGCACCAATGACAATTAAAACCTGTGCTTTTCCTATCGGGACTAAATCCGCGAGATTGTCTCTGTATGGGGGATATCTGATGGTGAAAACGTGTTACGTGCCCCCGGGTTTGGGAAATACAGTAGCGTTCACCGGCGTCCAAACAGTCTATTGTGACGCACATGACACATGACTTACAGTCTGGAGTTCTAGGTAAATGTTGCAACTAGGCCTGTACTTAATTTCTTAAAGTACGACTGAACTTACGTTGTATATTCTCATCTCTTGTCAAAACCTTAGATATATGACTTCGGAAATGAAAATTTCAAACTATGATCAAAAGGACGACATATTAACATGAAAACATCCGTTTTCGGGATTAGGCCACATCAAGTAAATTTTATGGATGACGTCCTTTGGAGACCCTAAATCTAAAGCGAGAGGGCGAAAAAAAACAAGTAGGGCCCTAAAAAACAAGATGCCTAGAATATTAGAAATACACTAAGAGACGACAAATGTTAGGACACAAATTGAATGAGGTGACATAGTGTAACAAGCAAGAAATCTTTTATTCATCATCAAAACAGCAATAAATCAGGTGGAACAGCAGTTGTCGTCCTGTCCTGTTCTCGCGTTACGGGTTTCACGTCAATCTGACGATTTGCGGCACTGTCATGACTCTTTGGTCATAGTTACAGGAAGCGGAATTTCTAGTTTGCCTGAGGCTATTGACAGGATCGTCCTGTCAATAGCAGAAAATATTGCACTGCTGACAGGACGATCCTGTCAATAGCAGAAAATATTGCACTGCTGACAGGACGATCCTGTCAATAGCAGAAAATACTGCACTGCTGACAGGACGATCCTGTCAATAACAGGAAATACTGCACTGCTGACAGGATCGTCCTGTCAGCAGTGCCATTTTTGACACTATTGACAGGATCGTCCTGTCAGCAGTGCCATTTTTGGCACTATTGACAGGATTTTTTAAATCTTCCATTTTGGGCTGTATTGACATGATTTCTTCATGTTTTCATTTATTTTAACCATGTTTTCATTTTTTTCAGTCAGAAGGCATATGCTACTGTACTGTAGATTAGGCGTTTCACGATGGCGGCTATCATCGCGTTAACAGCTAGTTATTATCAATACAGAGTACTCCAGCAGATACATGTCAAAACTAGACATGCTCAAAATATAAATACAGGCGAATTTCACGCATAAGCTGTCTGAAATACGAAGGCAGTTGTGTTTACATAAGATGACAATAAAAAAGACAAAAAGAAGTTTGATCTCTATCCTTTATTCTTTCAACCAATGAGGTTAAAATCAGACCTCCTTGTTTCAACAACTTCAACAAATCAAATGGAAAAAGGTAAATAAAATCGGCATAAAAAGAGTATAGCTAGCCAGGGGAGTTGGTCGGCCATAGAGGGTCGACTTTTTATTTTTTTCTACTATTTATTCAGCCTGCAAAAGAGTCTGGTGGAGACTACGCAGGGAATACCGTACTGTTGTGTTGCCCGCCTACTCGGCTGATCGGAGACCCCAGGGCCTGGGGGACCCCTTCACTCATCAGTAAGCTATCACCTCGGGGTCCCCTCATATACTTCTTATACTTAAATCACTGAAGGAAGTCAATTTGCTGGAATTCGTCTATAGCACTGCTGTAGTTAGCCTGGATGGCATCCAGGCTAGGCCATATTGTTTATACGGTGGCTGTTCTTGATTGCAGGGTAAGGTTTCGAGTAGACCTTGTCCGCCATCCTTTCACCCCGACGCGCTGTCTCGTACCCGCCGGTGGGCCGCTGTGTCATTCCCGCGGCGCCGGCCGTAATGGCTTACTGTCGCCCCGACTAGCCTCTACCAGGCACCGCGGATCGCTGGAAAAATAGTAGAAATTGGCCGAAATAAAGGGCGCTACCGAGCGGGGGATCAATGTATGCACGACGATCTGCAGGGGCCGCAGCGCAGGATCGTAAAAAATGGCCTAATAGCATAATCATACTAGTAATAACACCTACATAAGACCTACACGAACCAGCGCCCACCCCCAAATTTCCAGTATGAAATAAAAATACCAAAATTTTATCGATCCTGTCAATAGTAGAAAAATTTGCACT